GGGACGAAGGAAAAGGGGAGGTGCAGCTACTGGCAAATTGCTCAGTCTCTGTTTTAGCCGGGGCCCCACCGGCAGCCACAACCCCCAACCCTGTACCGTGGACCACTAGGGCAAGGGCAACATGCATTATCCCATTCACTGTGAGGGGTGGCTCTGGTTGCAGGGTTCCCCTGCACAGCCTTGGGAGCGGTGGTGGGTAGGGAATGAAAGGTGGATTTGAGGGAACGGAAAAGAACAAAAAGTGTTATTTCAAACGCACTGTAAAACACAACGTTCCTTACTCGACAAAAGAACAAAAAGTGTTATTTCAAACGCACTATAAAACACAACGTCAAACGCACTATAAAACACAACGTTCCTTACTCGACAAATTAGCAAAGTTTCAAAAGAAAAAATCCCAGACACACGGCAGACGGTAAGATGAAACAGAAAGTGAAAGCCCTCTGCTACGACAGGGCAAATCTAGCCAAATACAGCCATCTTGTGTCCGAAATCTCTCCCTTCACCCCTTTCCCACACACGACAAATTTGAAGCCACTTGTCTGGCCTCCTAATTACATCCGTTCACAATTCCGTCACTTGATGTCGACTACATCTCTTCTCTAACCTCCTGAGCGTGCACCTTCATTATCTCGACATGAAGTCCGACAGAGTAAACATGGCTCAATCACCTCGTCCTGTGCAGGCATACAAGCCTCGCACAGCCTTACACGGCCTCAGACTGAACGGAATTACTGCTGCATGTTCGAAACGCCGAATATTATGCCCTCCTCACAACAGCAAAGCAGGCTCCAATTTCAATGTGCAATGCAGCTAACAGAGACACCAGGTTCTGTGTCCCAACCCCCACAACATCCAAAGCCAATAATATACAGCCCGAAAAAGTCGCAGAGTGCTCCGACAAAAAAAGATTGACAAACACTGTCAGAGCGTCCCATCTAATGTCATTGTGCTCACAACACCCTGTGCAACTGCTGAAAGCTATCTGCTTCATTCAACAGAGGATCACCACCTGTTTGTCTTCCGTGGCACTCGGATGAAACTCCTACTCAAAGGACCTACCAACAACACTAACAATCCACCCCTGCCATACACTCACATGTGAAACTCCTACCCAAATAATCCACCCCTGCCATACACTCACATGTGAAACTCCTACACAAATAATCCACCCCGGCCACGCACCGAGCAAATACTACTTGCTACATCACACGTGGAACATGTTCACAGAAAAACAACTCATATCCATCCAGAAGTTAGGCCACCTGGGTAATGTAACACAGCATATTCACCAAGCCTTTCCATCCCTTGACACTGATACTCTGTGTCGCATCTACCAATGCAACATCCATGTGCAAGACGTCAGCAGCACAGGTAACTTAGTCCGCCCCCTTTATATGTACCCAGGATCCAATCATCATCCACAGCATTCGGATGCAGACTGGCAGCTTCGGACAAACACTGGCGACTGTGTTTGAGATCATTAAAAGCAGAAGAGGTGTTAGAAATTGACAAATCCTTACGCAGCAATGTCCTTATCTTTCTCCGCACAAGAAACTTGCTCGAGTTCAAAAAGAACACCATTATTATCTTTTGGGTGCAGGAATAGAACCGGGTTGTTGTGAGCCCCTAGCTTCGGTTCACCATTTCCAAGCACTCCCACTCCAGATTTCTGCATGTGCTTCGACGCCGAGTGGATATCATCAACCTGCAGTACACAACCCAGACAGCTCGTATCACAAACTGCTGGCTTCAGAACACACACCTCCCAGTCATGCATCCATTGCGACACCCAACGGCATAAACAATTCATAAACCACTAAGGTGGGAGACTAAGGGCCAGAAACCTTTCGCACAGGAAGGTTTAGTTTTGAGATATGAATTTAACTATCCACTAGCTGAGCTGTTGCGGCTTCGCCCACAAAAACAAATATGATGCGTGATCATTCATAGAGGTACATGACCATCTCTCTCTCTCTCTCTCTCTCTCTCTCTCTCTCTCTCTCTCTCTCTCTCTCTACACACACACACGTACACGTACACGAAAAAATAAAACAAAAAAAAGAAAAGAAAGAAAAAAGATCGCACCATGTGGCTCTTCTCCCTGCCACTGGCCTCCCCTTCAGTCCTTCCACTCTCTCTCTCTCTCTCTCTCTCTCTCTCTCTCTCTCTCTC